GTCTAGTCATGTGCATCTGTTTGAATTCATGAATGAAATTGAACAGCCAGCTCTGCAGCCTCTACGGCTCTGATTAATCTGATAATGATGATAGAGATGATACAGGGTGAAAGAGAGTGATAGAGGTGATAGAGGTGGTCGGGGTGGTAAGAGAGAGGTAGAGAGATAGAAGTAGAGAGTGAAAGTGATAGAGAGAGCTGCGGGGCGGTAGAGGCGGTGATGGTGATAGAGAGGAGTAGAGAGGGGAGAGGTAGAAGAGGCTGTGCAAACAGCAAAGCGAGCGTAAGCGAGCGTTTGATGCTTGTGATATGTGAGAGAGACTTACTGTAAATGATTTGAAACATCAAAAGCAGACAGAGATTTTGCAGAGATTTTGCTTTAAATATCTTCATAATTAGAGATTGAAAATCTTCCAAAATTGAGAAGATTGGCACATATGACTAGGTCTCTTCATCTTACAATTTATATGACAGTTTGACCCGGGGTTGTGGCGTGGTAGGGTAGGGGGTAAAATGGCCTAGAAATCAATGAAGCCACACTCCGAGTGTCCAAGCCCATCTGATAGGCGTTCGGCGACTTCGCACAGCATCATCTTCCAGAGGATGAGAATGCGCGTCGTTATTATTATTATTATTATTATTATTCTTCCATTATACTCATATGCAAGCGGAGCTTATGATGAGTCCTTGCGTGATGTTAAATACAGGCCAAGTGTTGGTTATACAGGAGGAAATACAGGTGTTGAGACCACGCCAAGATAACAAGAACATAGGAAATACAAAGGAGTGACAATTAGATACATGCGATAATAACTTCCCAGCCCAGGAACATAGAGTGATTTATTGGAGCGATTTGTACATCTCTGTATTTATTAGGAACCTGAGGTGCTTGAGTTCCGGATTTAATGTATCCCCTGCGGGTTTTGAACCCACATGCCTTGGTTTCCCACGCCAAGGCGCTACTGGGTGGCCGCATTAACCATTCGGCCACCGGGGCGAATGCGCGTCGTCGTTCGCAGGTAGATCATTACATTCGGCGTCGTTAGTGTAGAATAGTTGAAGGTTGTTAGACTGACTGTGTGACCGTGTCTGGGACCAGGACCAGATTTTTTGATAGTCTCATTACCAATTCAACTGATCCCATTACACAGTTTTAACATTAGATAGTAGTCTCATACTGTCTCAGTGAAACTTACTGTCTACTCTTGTCACATTTTTCAAATGAGATCATGATTTCCACTTCTCAATTTAAATTATTTTTATTACTTTAAATGACTTTAAATCTTATTTAAGTGTTATCAAAAAGCATTACTTTTTATAAAATTAAAAATAGTCTAAAAAAAACCTTAAAATGTCTAAAAATAGTAACTTTATATCAAGAATGAGATTAAATGAGATCAAATGAAATCACTTTCTTATTTTTTTCAAGTCATGATCTCATTTTAAAATCTGATATATAGTTACTTTGCATGTTTTTTTGATAGTCAGTCTCAGCAAAATTCATATTAAGAAATGTATAAGATCAGATCAAATGAAATTAAATATAAAATTCATAGTCTCAGCAGTTAGTCTAAAGATTGTATTGATAGATCTATCTATAAGAACATAATATAGTGATGAATTATATAATCTAGTGAGATTGCTAACTGTAACAGCTGTAAGAGTCAATACTCTCTCTTGAGATAATAAGAATTATATATAAAAACACTCAAATTATCAAGATAGTCTGTCAAAACTAAATATAAATATAAAATTAAACATTCTCAACTTTTATATCTGTAAGATCTAGTAAAATCATGAATTATATAAATATCACAGTGTTTAAAGATTTAGTGAGTTCATCTATTACTAGACTGACTGCTGAAATCATGAATTTCATATTTAATCTCATTTGATCTGATCTTATACATTTCTTGGCATGAATTTCACTGAGACTAGCTATTAAAAAAACATGTAAAGTAACTATATATCAGATCTTAAAATGAAATCATGACTTGAAAAAAATAAGAAAGTAATTTCATTTGATTTCATTTAGTCTCATTCTTGATATAAAGTTACTATTTTTAGACATTTTAAGGTTTTTTTTAGACTATTTTTAATTTTTTAAAAAGTAACACTTTTTGATAACACTTAAATAAGATTTAAAGTCATTTAAAGCAATAAAAATAATTTAAATTGAGAAGTGAAAATCATAATCTCATTTAAAAAATGTGATAAGAGTAGACAGTAAGTCTCACTGAGACAGTATGAAACTACTATCTAATGTTAAAAACTGTGTAATGAAAAAACTGTGTAATGAAATCAGTTGAATTGATAATAAGACTATCAAAAAATCTGGTTCTAATCTCAGACACAGTCACACAGTCAGTCTATCTATTACTATCTAAGTAATAAGAATGTATTCTAAATCAATGATTCTCTGATTCAACTGTTAATATAAAAAATGAAAATATATATTAATATGCTTGTTTTGAGTTATAATGACTGTCATCTTTATAAGATCTATAATATTCTTATTATCAGTGAGAATTCATATCAGAGATGTAGTAATAAAGTTAAGCTCAATTATAAGATTCTGAATTTATATTACTTTGTGAACTGTCTTACTAAGAGTCATATATTCAGTTTCATTGAAACTTAGAGATATACAAGATTGTTTTACTGAATATTATAAAATCAGATCATCTGTAAGCTTAAAAACATAGCTGAATATTAATTTTCTATCACTATTTAAGAGATCAGTTCAATCAGAATCTGAGTAGCTGAAAAGTAGATAGAAATTATTGAGAAAATCAGACATAATGAAAAGATCAGTAGAAATGAAAAAATTGATAGAAATGAAAAGATCAGTAGAAACAGATCTCTTATATAAGCTGTATCTGTAGAAAATACTCAGATTCATAATCTCTTTTAAATAATATATAATATATAATAGAGTCTTTCAATATTGAGATATTAAATCAATATTCTGTTAAGTGAGTAATGAGATAGTGTGAGTGATATTAGAATGTGTTTTAACTGCAAGATATTATAAGTAATTTATATTATATTAATATTACTGAATTATGAAATTAGTCTCTTTCTCAGATATAGAGAAATTATTAATACAGAATTCATTCTTTATTGATATTCTGATAATAGCTGTATTATCAAGATAGAAATCTTCAATAAGATATTTAATATATTAATAATATATTAAATTAATTCTCTTATCTGAATAATTAATCTTTATACTTAAATACTTGATTAACTGATGTATATTCTTGACTTTTAACTTCTCACTAAGTATACTTACTAATTAATCAGCATTCTCAGAAACTTCAGATATAATATTAAGATTATTAATATAGATTATTATATAAAGATGATATCTGAATGTATAATATCAGAGTACTGAATCATAGACACTGACTGTAAATTCAAGATTACTTAACAGAGTTATTAAGTAATCATATCAGATCTTCACTGCAGAGTTCAAACTATATAGACTATTCTCAACTATGTAGATAAGTATTTTCAGTGAATCTATCTCAAATTCAGTGAGTTATCTTATATAGATCTTCTTAGTGAGATATTTATACAGATATATTATCACTATATTTACTTAACAGAGTGTTTAACTGTATAGTACTACTATTATAAAAAGAATATAATTAACAGTATCAGTGATAACAGAAGTATAGATCTCTTCTCTAGAATTCTTCTTAAGTTAGTTATTATAAATCACTTAATATAATTTTCTAAGAATATTATCAGAATTAATATTCAGATTTATAAATCTATCTTTTTTAAAAAATACTTAATAGTCTAAAGCAATTAGTTCACTTCTCAGAATATTAGATCTAGAGATTAAACTTCATATATTATATCTCTTCAGATTAGTAATCTTGTATTGAATAAGCTTCTTTTAATAATCCTCTACTCTCTCTGACTGAGATATGATATTCTTGTAAAACTTCAAAAGATTATCTGTAACAGAGCTCAGAGTGTAAGTAGTCAGTGATTTCACAGACTGTAACTATATGAAATTCAGATTATTAATATTAGAAGTATCTTTATCATTAATCAGATAAATATCAGGTTTCAGTTCAATAATATAATTAATAAGTTTCACAGATATAATAACTGATTTTTCAGTGATTAGAAATCTCATATCACTACTGATAATAATCTTATCAGATTCAGAATATCATAGATAATATATTAATATATCACTGAATTCAATGATATGATAGAAATTAGTATATAAAGAAAGCTTATCTATAAGCTGCTAAGATTCATACAAGTGAATAAAAATCTCTGTACTTAATTGATGAAAATACCTCACATTCAGCAGAGTATTTATAAATATATATTAAGAAATCTTATATAAACTTGAAATCACAGAAGTCTCTACAGTAGAGAATTAAAATTTTGAGTTATAAAGAACTATAAATATAAGAGTATTATTAATTATTGTAATCACTATCTCTAGAACATCTGCTCAGAACTTTTTAGAGAGATTATCTTTTAAAAGAGCAGCTCTAATCTGTCTTATAATAGTGTGAATTTCATGTTCAGACATCATTCTGATATGATAAATATAATACTGTTAATTTTCATTTGATATCATATAAATTCATAACTGTGTATATATATGTGAATTGAAAAACATTATTAATATCAGTCTGTAGAAAAGCAGAGACTATATATCTGAGATTACTTATAAATCTGAGTTATAACTTAAAGTATTGAACAGTCTCATTCTTGAACTTTAAAAAATATACTCAATGATAGCAGATTGCATCACAGATAATAAGTATTCAGTATTTAATTCTCTGATAGAACTCTAAGAGATGATCAGAGAGATCTTTCAATGTATATTTATCATTTATGTAAGAGGCCTACGCCGAATAGATCGGTATAATATTATAGGTCTTATATAACAAAGATAAAAACGCTAGAGAAGGAAAGAAAGAGAAAGTGCGAGAATCAGCGATTGAGGTGGATATTTATACACATATGTGGTGGCGTACGCGGTGGAGCTTCGGGGCGGAAGAATATACACACGTTCGTAGCGGCCGAGGATCGGCGATCGAGAATGGCCGAGGATCGGAGCGTACGTGTAATCTGTGGAGTGTAATGATCGGGGTGGCGGCCGAGGATCTGCAATCGAGAATGGCCGAGGATCGGCAATCGAGAATGGCCGAGGATCTGCAATCGAGAATGGCCGAGGATCTGAGCGTACGTGGAATCTGTGGAGTGTAACGGAATAGTCTATATGATTGATCGGGCGCAGCCCGCCACAATTTATAAGATTAATATAAATCTTCTCAATAAGTTGAATAGATTTAGATATTGATGTTTTTAAATAATCTTATATTATATCTGTCTTGACACATTTCTTTTCTTATAAAAGAACTCAGTCTTAGAATCTTTAATTATGACTTCAGTATGAGAATTCTTAATTATAGTAATTATAGTATCAGTATAAATATAACTGAGATCACAGTACTAGTTTAAAAGAGTCTTTAATATTCTTGTATTCTTGAGATCTATATTTAAACTGTAGAATCAATGTTATCAACAGTAGTAGTAGTAGTCACAGAAAGATTAACTTTTCAGTTAAAATTATACTTATATAATATTATAATATACTTGACTGTCTTATTTAGATAATTGAAATTCTCATTAAACTCTTATTTATTAATCTTATATATATTATTCTAACCAGTTTGAACTGTATAAAAAATAACACTGTTCAGAGCTCTGTAAATGAAAAATAAGAGAATAGTGAAAGATAATATAAATCAGAATCTCTGATCTTTAAGCTTTATAAATAAGAGTAGATTAACTGTAATATTAGAAATATAGTGAATATTCTGTAAGTTAATATTATCACTCTTAATCTTTAAAATAACAGTTTTAATCTTCTTAATAAACTCAGTTCTCTCAGTCACAGAATCAACAGAGATATTATTATTAAAAGATTTAATATTTGAAAAAGAATGAAGCTTATCTGTTATATTCAGACTTATAATATATATCTAAATATCAAGATCTAGAGAATGATTTTCTGATAACTATAAAAGAGAAATAGAACTCAATCTTTGTAATTACTGTATTTACTGCTGATTAAGAACTTATTAAGTTATTCTTTTTCTCTTTCTTTTTATCATTCTTCTTTTTCTTTTTATCAAAGTGTAAGATAAAATATTTATTAACAGTATATTCATATCTTCTACAGTGAGTATACTTTTATACAGATATACTTTTATTCTCATCTTTATTCTTATCTTTATTCTTTTTCACAGTTATAGAATCAGTCTGAGACTGCTTTTTCTACTCAGTGATAATCTTCTTAAATATATAATTAATTAGTTACTTTATTAAATTATTAATATTAATATTAATAATGAGTCTCTGATCAGTGAAGAAAAACTTATTTAAATATATCTTAATAAACAGTCTTTAATAATTCTGCAGATTGTTGAGAAAAAGATTATAATATATATTCTCAGTACTCTGACAGAGCTTCTTATAATAAGTAATAAGATAGTGAAAATATCTCTGAAAAGTAAGATAATCATTCTTCTTAACTTATAATTTTATCAATTTCTTAAAGATATTAACTTATTCTTCAATTAGTGATATTGTATATTTAATATTAATCTTATTTTATAGAGTTATAGTATTATCAGTTTTCAAGATTTTAATAATGATTTAAATATTTTTAATAAGACTTGATAATATATATCTATATAGAGATTTAGAACAGATTCTTCACTTCTCAGAGTTAATATAATATATAAAAGAGAATTCTTATTAAGTTCTTAATAGAATGTTAATTTCACTAATAACTTTTATATCAGTTAATATATTAATATATCAGACTTTATAATTAGAGTTATTAAATATAATCACTAATTTAATATTTAGTGTATATTTTACTTTCTTCTGATATTTCTATAACTCATCTCTTATAGTATCTCTTTATACAGAGATAGATATAATAAGATATTAAGTAATTTCAGCTGTAATTATTTAATTTTATAGTATTATCTGTATAAGATTTATAAGATTATCTACAGTGTAATAGATAGATTAATTCAGATTATTATTAAAAGTCAGTATTTCAGAGATAAAAGATAATAAAGAATTTAATAAGTTAAAATAAACAGATTCTGTAGATAAATATTAACTCTGTTTTTCTTTATTCTGAAGTTTCTCTATTGTAAGAGGCCTACGCTGAATAGATCAGTATAATAGATAGGTCTTATATAACAAAGATAAAAATGTTAGAGAAGGAAAGAAAGAGAAAGTGCAAGAATCAGTAATCAAGATGAATATTTATACACATATATGATGATGTATGTGATGAAGCTTCGGGGCGGAAGAATATACACATGTTCATAGTGACTGAGAATCAGTGATCAGAAATGACTGAGAATTGAAGTGTACACTACGTGTGTTCATAGCAGCCGCGGATTGATGATTGAGAATAGCTGAGAATTGAAGTGTATGCTATATGTGTTCATAGCAGCTGTGAATTGATAATTGAAAATGAAAGAATCTATGAAGTGTAATGAAATAGTCTATATGATTGATCAGGCGCAGCCTGTCACATTAGTTCCCTCTTTTCAGAAGCAGTTCTCATTGATCAAGAGCTGCTGTTTTAGATAATATGAAACTTGAAGTTCAGATCAGTTAATTATAGCTGACTCATTTCATCAGATATTATCAGCTGTGACTGTGAAATCTCTTATTGAGAATATCTTCAATCTTTCACTCAAGCTCATTGTCTTCTTCTATAATGTCTGATGACTGTCAGTTAAAAGTCAGCTGAGAAGAGAACAGATCAGTGACAGTGTAACAGAGTAAGCTTATGTAAAATACATTATAAATCTCTGATAATGTATCAAGATAATAGTTATGACTATCTAGAACTTCTATCACTTTATATCTGATATAACAGTAGTCTAGTGTATGAGATGAATATATGATTTATATATTCTTAAGATTCAACTATACAAGATCTTCTATCTTATACTGCTCTGCAGAATCTCATTGAATATTAATTTAATCTTCTTAATCTTGTTTTATAATTGTTATAAAGGTCTCTGCTCAGTCACAGACATCTCAGAGCTTTATTACTATATTATTAATAATCTGAATTAAACTATGAGAGTTTGATATGAACTGTGTGATCTCTAGAAGATTCAACACTTTTATATGATACTTATGTATAAGAAAGAACAGACTTATATCTGTTAAAATAACATCTTAACTGTTGATAGCAATCTCTGTATATAGAAGAAGATTATATCAATTATCTTATAAGTAATTACAGAACTTATAAAGATAATTCTTTACAGTCTGAATTATCTATTCTAATACACTATCAGTCTTAAGATAATAGATAGTTAATAAATAGCATATAATCTTGAGAACTTGATAGATTCTTATTCAGAGAGTGCTTATAAATTGATGACTCTGATTTAATACTATCAATCTTAGTAATTCATATATCTGATAGAATGAACTCTGTAAGAAGACTTCAGTGACTTATTCAGTATTTATCTTATTATAAGATTTCAATATTATACTCTTACTTAGTCAGTCAATGATAATCAGAATGTTTCTACAACTCTTACTCTCAGATAGATTAATAGTAAAGTTAATTACTATATCTTATTAGATTCTATTAGAAATATTAAGTGATTTCAGTAGATCTTTTCTATAATTCTTTCATAAAATAATAGAAGAACAGTGATTACAGTTTCAGACAAAGTGTCTGATACTATTTAATATCTCAGACTAGTAGAATTCTCAGAAGATCATTCTATACAGTTATTCACAGTCTGAATAATCAGTTATATATGAATTATATATCTCTTACATTATCTGAGTGTATAAGAATTTAAAGTGAGAGACTCAGTGTTATTCACAGAATTGTAAGATATTATTATTATTAATTAAGTATTCTGAGATATCAGTTCTGATATGTAGTTCTGAAGAAAATTAAGATGCTTCTTGATATACTGCTTCAGTGAGAGTCTGAAGAAGTTTATTAGTCTGAGCTGCTATATATCATAGTTTATTCAGTGTAGAGAAAGTGAAGATATTAATATCAGTTCTAATTAAAGAAGTATATATAGTACTGTAAACTGTTCTATCTTGATTAATTAATATCTTCAGGTTTAAGAGCTGATGCTCTCAGTTTATTCAGTAAGTATCTGTTATATCAGATAGTATATCTTACTCTCATTATGAGAGAGTATCTGCTATTGAGTTCTGACTGTCAGAATAATAGTATATTATAAAATGAAAGTAACTTAGAAACTCAGATCATTGTATCTATTATTCAGTAAGTTTATAAGTAGTTATGAAGTATTTAAGATTCTTATAATCTGTGACTATCTTAAATTTGAAGATACTTCAGAGTTCAGAGTCTCATTCTTCTAAACAGTGTATAATTATAAGAAGTTTCTTATCATAGATCTCATAATTGCATTCAGCAGGACTCAGTTTCTTAGATATGAAAGTATATAATTATAGAACATCTTCATCATTATATTACAATATTACTTCTTCTATTATATAGTCAGAGAAATCAGCTTCAATAACTGTCTTATAATCAGAATCAAATATTATCAGTAAAAAGATATTAATGAATATCTTCTTCATCTGTGTAAATGCAGCTTCAGTATTCACTGATTATTGAAATACTGAGTCTTTCTTAGTGAGATCTGTAAGTGATCTTATGATATCTGAGAAGTTTTGTATAAATTACTGATAGAAGTTAGTAAATCTGATGAAGCTTTATACATCTTTCACAGTATACAGAGCTTCTCATTCAAGAATAATGAAGACTTTCTCAGAATTCATTTGAATCTTCTTATCAGCTTCTATAATAAAACTCAGATACTTAGTACTTTTAACTTTAAAATTATACTTATTAATATCTATCAGTAGTTCTGCTTCTTATAGTTATTGTAATATCTTTTATATATATTCTTAATATTCTTTTCTGAATTCATCAGTGAAGATGAGAATGTTATCTAGATAAGTAGATATAAACTTATTAAGAAAATCTTGAAGTACTTAGTTAATATACTTCTGAAATATACTGAGAGCATTAACCAGTTTAAAGAGTGTGACTATTCATTTAAAGAGACTATAATATGTTTGAAATGCTGTAAGCTATTCATCTTCTTCAGTGATATAAATCTTATGAAATATAATGATGATATCTAGTTTTATAAACT